TTTCCATTTGATAAAATCCACAAGAATAAGATGGTTTACACAATTCAGATTTTTCAATGAGATATTACATTGTAAAACGTATCACATAAATCAACTTGTAAAGTTAAAAATTATTTTATCATGATTTTAAATCTAATTCTGTCAAAGTAACATTTGTTTATGATATTAAACATTTTTTTATTGTCATTGTTGTTGTTGTCGTGTTGTGAGTTAAAACAAAGCAAAACAAAACAAAAACTTGGACAGTTTCTTGCAGAAGTAGAAATAAAATAAGAAAGCATGAATTAGTCTTCTAGTATTGTTATCCTTTCTGAGCTAAATGGTTTAATTGTGAAGCTTTCAATGCTAACGCAAACATAATGTGAAATAAGCCTTTAGAATTCAGTAGGAGGATTAAAATAAGTGTCCTTACTGACAGGTTGCCTTTAGAGGTTTTATTATTCATGTATTGCTAGTGGATCGGGGTATTTTATCTCTCACTATGTGATTTATTCTTTATTGATTCATAGATCTGATCAATGTCAACATGTTTCTGGAGTGCATATTAATTCAGAGCATCAGCCGTCTAGGAATTGTTTATAGTGAAAATATTTATTCACACATTCAGAAAAAGAATTCAGCAGAGAATATCCGATTCGATAATTTACTCTTCTGACTCTACAATTATATATATAAATATTTATATACACAGAATATTCTAGAATAATCGTCACTAACGATACTGGTGATTGTCGATTTGTTAAAACTAATGAAATTACAGTTCAATCAAGATGCATAAGTTATAATAAGCATAAAAATGTAAATAGAGTGTCAAATAAAATTAAGCAAATTTCTACAACAAATTAAGGATTATTAAAACCTTGATGACCAAGGTAAGGAAAGTGTCTAAACCAACATCTCCTTTTGGATACACAGATTAGGTTTCTTAATGTGAATCCCAACAGCCTCAGCAATATTTAGTAAACGAACTCTTAAGGTAAAGTTAAGATTAGTTGGCATGACTTTGAAAGCTTTGTTAACATCAATCTTGTGTTCTGTATTCACAAGATGACACAGAAAAGAGCTATGAATAGATTTTGTTTGTCCCTTACTTAACCGCTATGAAGAATGGTGTTCGGAAATCCAACGAATCTGCTTAAAACTCCAACACATTCCTTCAGTTTATTTGGTGCCTATAGTTTTTCTCAGACATTGAAAGAATAAATATCACGTCTTTTGATCGTTAATTTAATTTTGTGAATATTAGAGAAGAAATTAACGCCCATTTTTCACAGTTAATGCAATTGGTTTTGCCGATTGTATTGCTTTCATCCAGTTTGACTGTTGGATCTTTTGTCTTGCTTTGTACTAAATAAGGTGACTGTGTGGGTTTGTAACCAATACCTATTTCAAAATTACCTTTAAAATAAGCAGTTATATCAGTAATGTTCTTCATATATGAGGGTTTTACCCTGATCGTTTGATTTGAATGAAGATATATTTTTACGAAGTTCTATAGGCTGGTAGTTTTATGAGTGGCGGTCAGAAGGCATTTTGCTTGCAATCTCTTCGGAGAGGGTTGTTGCAATGTGTCTAACACCTTTCGAATAGAGTGTTTGGATATAGTTTCTTTTGTGCTCTGTTAAACTCTTACTATTTTAGTAGTTGAGGATTAAGTTTTTTTTGATCGGACACTAGTCAGTAACCAGTGTAATGCATTTTGTCCTATATTTGATGAAGACTGAATTCTAGCAGTCAAGTTTGCAATGTGGCCACCATACTACTAGGTGCCTCGTCATCACAGTGCATTGTGAAATGCTGTTATTAGATAGTTGAAGGCAATCGGCAGGAAGCCTTCGACCTAGGTTTCATGCTGGGTGGTACTCACCAGTGAGCAAAGCGTATCAGCAATCTTGAAGGAACTCATTTCCGCCCTGAGATTCGAACCCGTGTCACCCAGTGCTGCCGGCAGTCAGAGACGTTACCACTGAGCTATTCAGGCTGGTGACAGACCTCCAGCAGGACTCTACTGGATATTTTTGATCGCACAATAGTCAGTAACTATTGTAATATATGTGTGTATAGTCCTATCTTTGGTACAAACTGAATCTATCAGTCAAGTATGTACGGGTTGTTTTTGTGTTTACTCAGCTTCTCCCATATTGTTTTGTACTTGCTCACTAGACCAAAACATTAAAGAATCAAACTTTTGCTGCCTGATTTCTTTTCACTTGTAAATTCGATGTCCTTAAAAAAGGTATCGGTTAATTTGTGAATGCTTTCTAAATCATTTCGTCTTCATCATTTAACAAGCATAATTCATTTATGTGGTGTGAACAGGTACTGTTCTTAAATAATTTTAAATATTACTTGAAATATTTCGATCAAGTTTGTAAAATATGATTGAAAAGTTTGTATCAGAAGATATTTAACTATATTCAAACAACTTTGCTTGGTTTGTGTAGAAAAGATACACGAACTGGATTTGAGTCGAACTCAAGCAAAGTTATGCCACAGCTTTAGTCGATTATATACTTAACTGACTAGACAAAAGATGCTGACATAAAGAAATAATAATAGTCCCAAGATAAGGGCAAATGCTACAATAATGCACAACAGTGCATCGAACGAAAAAGTAAGGGTGAGGAAAAAAGCTATACATCTTTCTAAAACTGTCAAGAATATTACATAAAATCGATGAAAACTTGAGACAGTAATTTTGACAGCGTGAAAAGTAGTTTTTGTGAATTTATATAGGTTACATTGAAGAGATGATAAAGATGTTACTTTTTGGATTGTATACTTTCAAACATTATTTTTTATTCCTTTCTGCTCCGAGTGGAACATAGCTCTCCAAGATTGAGCTCCTCAGCTTCAGTAGTACTGGTGTTGTCTTTTTATGAGACGAAGTTGTTAGCATCACACCCAACTTACTGTTGACTAAGCGAGATTAAAGTGTTCGTCGGCCAAGTATCGAACCTAAGACCATTCGCATAGTTGGCAAGCATTTTACCATTGAACCACGGACGCATAAAAACCAGTGAACACTGGATATATGTTTCGCCCTACTTTAGGACTCTTCGACAGTCTCACACACCGGGGTTGGAACCCAGGATCTTCCGGTCACTTAGTACAAGTGCAAAGATAATAATAAGAGCCATAAATGAGAAAAAACAGATATTGGTAAAACGAAATAAGATTTTCAGTATTTTGAAGAAGTGCCTTTGAATTATTTAGACCCACTGTGGTTTCACTTAGTTGAGATATTTGTTCAGATGATTTGGGGATTTTTAACATTCCCGTCTACGACACACACAGATCAGCAGATGGTAAATCTACAAATCGGTTTAATAACTTCCCCATAAACATATCCAGCAGAGTTAAAACATAAAATCAGACCATTCGGTCGAAGAATACATACAGCAGAACCTACTGGCTCCTAACAGACATGACACGAGGTCAATTTCTCATTGAGTGTCAAACAATATGATCATAGTTTTATCTGGGAGAATTTCTAAATTCTGATACGTAGTAGTCCTAAAATGGCAAAGGAATTTCCGAAGGTGTGCTACTTAGAATAAAAAGCAATTAAAAAATATTTGAGTTTGGATATTATTGATCAAATCATAAATAGCACACGAAAAGACTATTATCCCAAGAACAGCAACACTAACAACAAAATTCTTAGGCGTTAGACAACAAACTCAAATCGGAAATAGTCAGTGATTCAAAGATTGCACGACAAATGAAATATGAGCTGAACTAACAAAATATAAACAATTACAAACCAAAGATAAAAATAACAGAAGTTATTATCACAGATTAAATAATGAAGGAAGCATATCCGTGAATACAATTTCCCAAACTCTAATAATAATTAGGAGTTCATCAATTTGAAAAGTCAGAATAATCGATCACATTCAAAACTGAAGAATCAAGTTTAATTTAAAAGAAGGACACATATCTAAAGCTAAAAAAATTATTAGTGATATTACCTCTTTTCTCCACCTGTTTCATTTCTCATATTCGTTATTTCATTATGAACCTCTCATTGCAGTCTTACTATTTTCTGTTTAATACAGACCACTTTGTACTAGCCACTCGCCTGACACCTTTTATAACCTTGAACTGACTAGTCACCTTTTCCTACCCCCACTCTACAAATAAATCTATTATGACTAATCATCCTAACCCATTTCACCGAAATATATTGGAATCGATTTCAGCCTGGCACGTCTGACACCCAAATACGACTATTTATTGACACCCCATGACTAATCTGTTATTCTACGTTAAAAATGTATCTATGTACTGCATCCGCGTATCCGTGCATACTGCTGGAGAGTCCCAAACTAGGACGAAGCAGCTGTCCAGTACTCACAGGTTTTCCAGTGGTTCTCAAACTGATATCAACTCATGATGAAATCCTCCATGATATCAGGCGAAAATCCCTACAAAACCAATACTTGAAAATTAATCTGATGCTCACTGGCTGACTGGCCCTATTCAGGCAGTGACCTGGGGATCTAGTGGGAAGCTGTGACCAGTAGGGTACAGCAGTTTGAAGATGAGACAGTAACCCATCGAAATAGGCATTGCGAAGTGGTCACGCTATGTTGTGAATTGACAGAAGTTAGAGTTCAAGGACCACTGGATCGAATCCCAGTGGCTCAATGGTCTACGAGCTCGCTGGCCTTGTGGCCAGAGGGTCCTGGATTCAAACCCCGGTGGGTGCTTACTGATGAAGAGTCCCAAACTAGGACAAAATACCTATCCGCCGCATAACTGGCCTTTATTGTAACGACCACAAATATTACATTTTATAATTGTAAGAACCTGAAGAGAAATTATTGAAAAGAATATTCTTCGTTCAGATTGACTTTCAATTCATAATATGGGAATATTTTACACTATTAAATCTTATAACTCTCAACAGCTTAAGAAATAAAAGGTAAGGGTTATACCGAAACAGAGAAATAAAAATGTTTTTGAAAACTGAAGTATCTTTTATGATTACTTACGTTGGTTTTCCAGCTTCAGCTAAATCTGTTTGTAATCTTGGACCACCTTCAACCTCCATTGTACAATATACCATTTTATTAGTTGGTAAATGTTTAAGATTTTTCACCTGACCAACAACAATCTAATCAAGAGTGAAAAAGAAATGAAAGGAAGCAGTGTGAGAGATAATAAAATAAACTCAGCTTACTGAAGAAGTTTTCAGTTTGATTAACTTTAACCTTCTTGAGATGCTATGTAGACGTACAAGCTAACATTGTTTATGAGATTTTTTTGTTTTCTGTCTTCTCTCACTCCCACCCCCTTTTTTCATACTTTGAAAGCGTATAAATTGATGGCGACTTAAACTAATCATTGTAATGGTTATATTCCGGATAAGTTTATCTTAAAATGTTTTCTGTATTACCTTTCAAAAAATGAAGTATGAAATGTCACCATTTATAACCATTGAAATTTCAGGTAGTTTGCAGCCGATAAGAACCTGAGAAATAGAATTATATCATTTCATATTACTTGCAAAATTGGTCTTTCTTTCTCTGTCGAAATTTACCAAAGAAACCAAATGTATTAAATGAAGGTATTTCTAATCAAGTTAATTAAAACTTCCTAGTATGTGATATGTTTATGGTTTAATGTCACACAAACTGGAAGACTTGCAGACGAAAACCAACAAACTGGAAAAAGAAGCAGCCTGTGAAAACAGAACTCCAGGTACACATAGAGAAGATGGAAGTGATGAAGACAACTAACCACCAGCAACAACAAACAGCACAAATCACCATCAATCGAAGAAATTTGAAAAAGGCTACTTCCTTCACTTATCTAGGAAGTGGATGAAGACGACAAAGCCAACGAGAATTGGTAAGGAAAAATACACCTCCAGCAATCTGAAATCGGTTTGGAAATCTTCTGCACTCCGCCTCAGAGCAAACAACAAGATTCAGACTCTCAACACAAATGTGAAGTCAGCCAGTGCTTCTATATGGATCAGAAACTTGGGCAAGACATCACGAAAAGCACTTCCAACAGGCGCCACTGCAGATTTTTAGCAAGAGGTGCCTTCGCTGTCTCCATATCGAAGATCGAATGGCCAGTCCACTTGCCAGAACAAACCAACCAAGAACATATCGTTCAAGAAATATGCAGGAGAAAGTGGAGATGGACTGGGTATACGCTGAAGAGACCCTTGAATGATATCGCGCTCAATGCAAGCCATCGCTCGAGTGGAACCCGAAAAGGAAACGACGAGTGGGTCATCCGAGGGTGACATGAAGAAGATGGTGCGAGGAGATGAGAGATCATGGTCAACCGTGGAAGCGGATGGAGAGGAGAACAGAAGAAAGTGAAGGTGTGTTGTTGAAGCCCCATATTCCACTCGGAACCCAAAGAAACAATGATAATAATACAATACATAATGTAATATATAATAATATATACAATACAGAGAACAGAGCAACTACAGTTGCTGCAATAGGCCAGTAAATTCTCACACAAACGAAGAGTTATCCTTATGAATAGCTTAGTTAAACAATGCCTGATTTTAGCAACCACTGCCACTAGTTAAATTTATAGTGTGAACACAAATTGTTAAGTCTTGAAGTTCAGTCCAGTAGTGATGAAATTTTCTATATTTTTGTAGTCTTCATTATTTTATGTCAGAAGCTTACTAGATAATCTAAGACTTCGTAACCAATCAATCTGTTCCAGCCTGAAGTTGTGTATTCATATTTGCATAATGAAAATCAAGTTATTTTTTCCACATTTTACTAACTTTATTAGGGTTTATCTTTCCAGATGTAAACATATTGTCAACATTCTAAGTGACTAAATACTCTTAGTAAACTTTATGATTTATATGCGCAAACCATCATAATTAACAAGTGGCGTGTGCTCTTACAAATTCAATAACTTTATTAGTCAGTCAAATCATTGAATTGATAAAGTTTATCTCTAAGTGAGGATGTCAGCCATTTTGTCATGCATTACAACAATATCTAGGAAACTTCGAGTTCTTGATTATTTATGCTGTGATTACTAGTTCCAGTCCTCTGCTTTCTTGTGTACTTCTCAGAATCTTACCAAAGCATTTATGAGGATGAGTAATGAGTGGAATTCTGAATTTCAGTAGTTTCATCTACTTATTTGGTTTACTTGATTCATAATTTAAAGAGCGTTAATCTGATTACTTAAAAAGCTTTATGTAATCCCCTTCAACTAATATGAGATAAGAAAGTTTAGAGGCAAAATACCGGCTAAAGTGTGTTTGTTTTCTACAAATAATAATAATAATAATCTGAAAAACATCATCTACCTATCTGTCTAGTTCATCATAAAACCGCATACTTCTAATTTTCAATCTCCACAACTAGAAAATTTCGCTTAGCCATACTGAAAGAAGCCTACTGGTAGAATAAAAGTGTTACGTCCTGCTTTGGTTTATTTCTTTCTTTTCTTTTTAAAGGAAGTGTTGAAGTCGATATGGACACCCCAGTAATTAATTATTTGTTTAAACAAGGAACGTGCTGTTTTTATACTATATTATTTAATTGTGTTAAACAAAGATAGAATTAAAAAAGAGAAGAAAAACTTTGAAAAGACAAACATATAGGTGTGCAGTAGGCGTACAATTTTAATCAAACATTGTCTTTTTTAAAGTTGTTAAACACTGTTCTTTCCTTTCTTCCTCTTTCTCATCCTTTATCCTATTTCCATAAACCATAAGCCAATAGCACTACAGACATAAATAAAATAATACTGATGTAATAATATTAATGGTAGAAGTACTGGTTACTAAGAGATTCTTATTGGTAAGAAAACAAAAGTATAAGGGCCAGAATGTTAAATAATTTTCATTAATGCCTTTGAAATGAATCTATAGCTCTAATTAGCCTTATTTGGTTGATAGCGGACAATTAGCGGACAAAACGTAAACGCTGAAGGTGATTTATCGCATCCTATTGAATTTATATAATGCTCTTCGTATTTGCCCACTGCGTAAAGCCGAAGTTTGATTGTACACTAGTTAATGACTGGCGTAATGTATATAACCCTAACTTTGGTGAAGACTGAATTCTACCAGTCAAGTTTGCAATGTGGCCACTATGCCACTAGGTGGCTCGCCACCACCGTGCCCTTTATATTGTTGATAAAAGGTGGTTGGAGCAGTCCGTAGGAGGCCTTTGACCTAGGTTTCGTGCTAGTTGGCACTTATCAGTCAGCAAGGCGTATCTGCAACCTTGAAAGAATTCATGTCCCTTTTGCGTCCTAAGTCCAAGGCTTTTTGCCGACTACCTCCAGTCATATAATATCAACAAATCACAATGTACCATGATGCCAAGTCACCAAACATGATGGCCACATTGCAAACTTGACTGACAGAATTCAGTCTGCATTGAAGATAGAATTAGGCACACACATATTACACTAGTTACGATCAAAAATATCCAGTAGAGTCCTGCTGGAGGTCTGTCACCAGCCTGAATAGCTCAGTGGTAACGTCTCTGACTGCCGGCAGCACTGGGTGACACGGGTTCGAATCTCAGGGCGGAAATGAGTTCCTTCATGGCTGCAGATTCGTCTTGCTTACTGGTGAGTGCCAACTGGCACGAAACCTAGCTCCACGGCTTCCTACCGAATGCGTCCACCCACCTAATAGAACCGAAGTTATGGGTATAGGAATTAATAAACCCAGGTTGTGTTTACAGACAGGGTTTGTACAGACGTTATCTCTCCTCAGCTGACTAAGTGTGCAACAACCCTACCACGTATTATATATTATTATTATTTTTCTGTAGTTGAGGACACATTTAGTCGACCAGCTTAGTTTCAAAATGAAACCTCAGCACAGAAATGCAGCAGTTCGAGTTCCCACACTCGACACAGAGAAAAAGTAGTAAAAAAGGGATTCAAAAGGATTGTAATATTACCAGAAATACGAGAAGGAGACAGAATAGTAACATGGAAAAACATGCCTTCACAAAGAGTGAAGGAATCCAAGTCACTGAGAATGATTTTGAGACTTATCACCAAATAGTTCTTAACGGTTGGTTCTTAGCATCCTCCTGAGGACTCCAACTAATCAGACATGCGTCAGCGTAGCTCATACCAGGTGCCAAAAATTTCATAAAATCATACAAGGTTTCAGCCTGACCACATCTAGTTCATTTTTCACCTTTATGCTATGCTTGCCAACATTGCTTATAGAGGAAGGTGGTGGCTCGGCATGCGCAGCACTTATCGTAGCCATCTTATTTATTGTAGCTTCATAACCCTATTGATTGATTTCCCTTCATGATTCAACAGTCTACGTCTAACCTCAGTATTGCTTACCGTATTACGCCACTTAAAATGGGAGATAGAGTGCAAACATCTATAGTTAGAAAAAAAGGTAACCTTGTAGCTGAGAGTTATCTAAATATATATGCATATATGCTTCACAGTACTATATACTTATTACTTTACTAAGTATACATTCTACTCTTTAGGAAGAATAAATCAGTTAGCTATGATAATAAATGTTTTGTATGGTTGTCAGAGTTAACGGGAAAATAAATGTACTTACTGAAGTATTCTAAGCAGATACTCAATGGTTTAATATACTCCGTAATATTTATTTCAAATCAAATCTGAGCACAAGTAAGCGAGTAGAACAATCTATACAGACACAGTGTATACAGCTTCGCATAAAAATAAGAATATCAAGCTATACAAAAAGGTGACACACACACATGAAACTAGCTAGACGATACTCTCAGATACCACTGTTTATGATAAATGCTGCGCAAGTTATTAATAATGTACATCCAAAGAGAAGACACCGCGGTATACTGATTAGTATGAAATGTTTGCCAATGAAAAGAAAAACAACAGCAGCAAAACAGTTTACATGTTAATTATTTAAGTTAGCCATAATTATCACCATGATCATAAGAAAAATAAAGCGGAATAGAAATTCGGTTAGTGAGTGGATAACCGTCTAATCTTAAATAATCTCATACATGTTTACCTTATACTGAGGGGAATTCATACGGAATAATACCACAAGGCTATGTCCACCATTAAAGACTGTGAATAGTTCTCACCGAATACAAATGATAATTATGCATTTTACACGTACATCATTTT